TGCCCGCTAACGCTGAAGCATTATGCAGTATTTCTTCTGTCAGGTAACGGAACAATCACTCCTCCAGATTCACTTTGGTTAACCCACATTCATTTCAACAACGGACATTTTTACGTAGAATTGTTTCAGCATGGCAACGTTTTGACATACCTTTGATGCGTGATTGTAAACAAGGGTTTAAATTTTGGTTGTGTTTGTGCGTGGGTTTAGAATTATTAACCGTAGGGAATATCCCTTTCCTCATTATGCAAAAGCTTAACAATTTTTTCTCAAAAATATGCCTGGTTTTTTTTAAATGAGAAACGTACGTATTGAAGAAGTGAGGTATCCTTTTCTAGAAACTGAGCAATGCAATAGGCAAGCTGTGGATGATATACAGACATTGACCATGGTTTGTGCAGCGGAAGAATAGCCTTACGCAAGCTCTCCACTTGCTCAGGTGTGAGTGGTGTTTGGTATCCACTAACGATGCTAAGAAAGAAAAAGGAAAAAAAATTTCACAACTAGATGAAGTTTTGTATATAATGGCGAATGCACAATTGTAGAGGCATGATCACAAACTACTTAACCATTCATTTGGTATTGTCATCACTATATTTTTCTAATGAAGCCTTTGAAACTCGAACCATGACATCAAAAGGCATTACAAGGCTTTGGGTTTGTGGATTGTACTATCGGGTCTGAGCGTCTCCAGAAACCACCTCTGACGTGCCTTAACTCACGTTTCAATTGTGAGTTAAGTTTCCCGACTATTGCCTTACTAGCTTTCATATTTCTGTATAATACTCAAACTATGGGTTTGAGAGGTATGAGGTATGAGAGTTCTTCACTTTACTGAAGTATCAGCCCAATTTCGTAGTCATTAAAGGAATAATTTATGCTCGAGACGTTAACGGTGGCATTTTAGTTGTAAGTGAAGTTCTGAGTTTTGTAGTGCCACAACAATGCGGTCTTACCTTCCAAATATCTCCAATAGTTCGCCTATACCGTTAAATTGCACCATATCGAAAACAAAGCTAGAAAATATTTAAAAAGTACAAGTTAGTCAAACCACAGACAGTTTGTTTAAACTGGCAATGTACCATATAAGATGGACGTGATTAGACGACATCTAAAGTAGTGACTGTGCAGTCATCTCTTTTGAAGTTTTTTACTACACCATCCACATCTAAGTTCGTGATAGGAGGTTTTGAGATTCCGGCGTTAATGGCTTCATGAAATGCAAAGTTCCATGTGGGTAAGCTTAAGTAAATGCTTGAGTAAATTTTCTCGGTCACAATTAGCTGATTGAAGTTGAAATTTTTATTGACACCATCAAGGGAATTGAGAAAAACGAATTTGTTTATGTAGGAGACAAAAAATCCCCCACAATGTGTTCTTGAACTAGACTGTCATCTGTGACGTACAAGTAAAAGCAAGTCTATACGATTTTACCTCAAGCCAATTGAATGAAACTCATCCTTACTTTGCATTGGTTTCCACAATCAACTTATAGCTCTATCCCTCGGTCCTTTATATAAAGTGCTCACGCCAATCAAACACACGCCACTGGCCTGTGTATCGTAGTTTTTGTGTTCTCTTCTTTGTCAGCAGACATTACGGTCGATTATTCGGCATGGTATCAAGGTGGTACTATACGCGGTACACAACTGTTTTTTTATGTTAATTGATTTGCAGATCTTGCAGTTTGTCTAAACTACGAGGATTCGAAGTGTCTTGGCAGGACTTGTGCTTGGTGTTAAGCTTTGTCCATAATCAATTCTATAACAATTGGTATGGAAGCATCAAGCTATCAATGCCAAAAGGCCTTTTATTTAGGCTTTTAAAACAAAAACCTCTCTATTGTGTTCTCAGTTAATGTGATGTGCCAATCGATATTGGAGACATTTATCTTCAGTGGTATAGCAGGTTGCGCTTACAGTCAGCGTATCAGTCGCTATTTATAAGCTTAAGACAGTTGACGACAATGGAGCTGTAAATAAAACTTGATTCAAAATTCATAACATACATGGTTGCATAAATGTCCAAAGTTGACTTACAGAATGGTGATTGAGTTTAAAAAGCAACATATTGCAGTTACGTGATGCATTCTATCTACGTGGCAACACATGCCTTACAAATTGTTTTTAGAGCTTGAAACTCAAATATAATTTTTCCAGGCTACTTCGATGCGATCAGATAAATCCACCTGTGTAAGGTTGAGTTAATGCGTCATTAAGGCAGGATTCATTGGAAAGGTCACGCTAACTCCAGGCTCGGAATTTGTTAGATAACTGAACCCCTAGAAAACAGACTGAAGAAACTATATATTACTGTAATTTTGTTCCAGTGGGCATGATGACTTTACGAGGGGATTCGCACAACATTCGCCGATTTATCTAAGGGACTAATCGCCGCACACCCACAGCACACCTTCTAGCACATCTTGAAGCTGCGTTTAAACTTTCAACCATGGTTTTTACTTTTCCGAAAACCGAAATGGTTTTTAGCATATAACTAGGTGAGAACGATTGTTTTTTCTCAAATTCAATGTGAGGTACATTGGTCAGACTCGATGAATTTTGAGTTGGCTATGTAACTGAAGCAATGGCTAAAGAGCGGAGCTGTGTACGAGATGTTTACGTATTTTGCTTTTTTCTTCGTAACGTGAAGTACTGTGATTTTAACCTGAATCACAATGTAGGTCATTTTTTAAGCATTTTTTCCCTGCAGACAAATCCACAAATGGACTCCTGTTCTAAGGATTTAAACACGCGACTTCAGAATTGCCTACACGAATGTCGTGCACCGGAAGTGAGCGTAGAAGAGTTTCATTCATTAATAACTCACTTACCTTTGGAACGTAAAGATCATCTGCTTTCGAATAAATACCCGAAGCTTAATAAGCTTTGTGTAGATTTTGTGTAATATCAGTTTCGCACAGTCCCTTTCACGGCGATCTTCAGTATCAAACACGGCGAGCAAGTTTAGCACAAAAGCATGGCTAATATGCTTTTTGAGAAAAACCGTTTTAATGTTCATTAGAGAAAGGAACCGTAGAAATATCTCATACACCAACTACAAGGCAACATGAAAAGAGATTGCATCAAAAGAAAACAGGTTTTAGGTATAAATTGGGCCAAAAAGTAAACCTTAATAGCCAATTTCACAATATTCAACTTCTATGAAAAAAAAATGAGTCTGATTTATTTAGTTATTTTTATGTGGTTGCAGTATTACATGCATGGCATTTTCAATGTGAATGCAACTGCATGTAATACGGCATTAGAACAGTTTAGACTAAATGAAACAAGTTGAAAAAAAAAGCATTCTATTAACAATATACTTGTAAGTCATTTTCGAGGCCTTAAAAAGGGATTTACATTATTAGTCTCCGAGTTTATTGTAAGAAGGTTCACTGACGTTGGCTTTCCTACAAATCAAAATGTGTTTTATTTTTTTCGAGTTAGAAGGTTTTTATTTTTGTTTAAGACCGCACTGACGGATCTTTAAATGACTTGACCTAGCCAAGAGTACGAACAAGAGAGAACAACCGGGTGAATCAAATAGTTTTCGAACAACTATTGATCGTCACTTCCTCAAACCGCCAAACCCCAGGTACTGGCATTTCACAACATCGTTTTACTACCGACAACATGAAACTGCTAAATGATCAATGGCTATTGCCATGACGTCTCGGCATGATAAGCAGTGCTTTTGGTTAAAGGGGCCAAAGGCCAAAGATTTCACTAACAATAACTGTCAGAACTAGATCTGAGCCTGTGAATGAAGGAAACGTGGGCCAGGAACATCGCTAAATCACACGTGAATAGATCACTGTGATTTGTCCATAGTTGGCGTAGTTGTTGATAAGACTGTGTGCATTCAAACGATTAACAGTTTAGGTAACGCTCGAAGATGATGATGATGTTGTTGTTAATTCTCCTAAAAGAACAAACGCCCCTATGCTGTATGACTACGCAAAGCTGCGCGCAATCAAATAAGGCTGAAATTCTGGTGTTGGACTGGTCCGTTCTAACCCTTCCACAATATGCGTTCCACTCTATTCGCCAAGCCCCACGGTGACTATTTACTGACCTTCCAGGTAGTGCAGAAATGGCAATAAGCTACCAACGAAAATGCGAATCATATTATTATCTAAAAGAAAACTTCCTCATAATGAAGTCCTTCTTCCACCAATTCAATGTTACTTGTTCTTGCCCCTGGAGCAGATGTTTTGAACCTGCAAATGTCACTTTCCGATAGTGGCTTCTTTTCAGTTTGGTTATTTGACTCAACCTTTGAGAGTCATACACTAATTTACATCCAATTTCCTTTGATCACCGACGGCAATGCGAATAAAATTTGCACGTGTGCAACGACATAAAAAGATAAATACCTATACCAGTCTTTGCCATCCACGTCTTCCCTTCAGTTTCTAAGCCCTGCGCAAACTATAGTGTCTGAAAAACAAAAATTAGGTCGAATGCTGCGCATTTTTCGACGGGAAACAGCACATAACTTGAATGTGGGTAAACCAAAGTGAATCTGGAGGAGTGATTGTTCCGTTACCTGACAGAAGAAATACTGCATAATGCTTCAGCGTTAGCGGGCAAAAGTAACAACTACGGGAAAGACTTCAACAACATTTTGGGCTATTGTTTACACCGCAGACAAGACAGTCCGTTCTTTCTGAGGACTAGGTCTGCAGAGGCTTCTGGATTTGGCCGTTTCTTGGATCTTAATTTAAAGAATCACGCTGTTGAGGTTGACGTTTTGCTAGGTCCACACAGTGACATGAAGACTTGGGTGTGTGTGTGTGTGGTGCAGACGGCGCCAATTTTGCACATACATATTCCACATTAGTCCAGCTCCACGTTTGCCACAAATGAATTGTGATGCATATCAGAATGTACAGTAGTAAGCCACCAAATTGGTACAATATCAATTCCGAACACTTTATAGCAAGATATAAAAGTATGCCAGACCAGAAAAATTAAGGAAGTATTGCGAGACCATGGTGGACGATGGTGTTTGAAAAATCCAAACCGTTTGAAAAGTGAATGTATCGAATGTTGTGCATCTAAAGAAAGCCTTTGGTTGATTTTTCCACGCTGGTTAAATGTCAGAAGCTTAAGAACGGTTGTCCGTTTTTAGCCAGAATGTCAAAGTCACACAACAGAGCGTATTAATTGTACTTGGCAAGACCCTCCTTTTAACGATAACATTTTAACAAGTCTTTTATGACATTTTGCTATTCTTATTTTTAAATTAAAACCGCACAATCGTGCAACCTAGAAAACAAATCTTGGCTCTGATGAAAGACTGGAAACCAAATTTCACAACTGAACTTGTCGAAAGAATGTCAAGTGCACATTATTATTACAGTCAGCTCCGCGCCAAATCAATCCTTATTTGTCGACAGTTCCTATGCCTCCTCCAGTCAATTTTACGCCTCAAATCTCCAAATGGTTGATCATGCCAACCGTAGTAATTATGATCAAATATGAGAAATAACACCCGTTCTGTCTTTGTTTGGAAGATTGTTATCGATGGACTTCTGCGATATTGGCCAAAAGCACATTGTGCAAAGGCGGTGATGTTTTTAAACGAGTTGGAAGAATGTCTTGAAATGGGAAATGACGCCGACGTTTCAACGATTGTGGTGCCCATCTTTAAGAAGCTGTCATCGTGCTATACCAGCCATCATTTCCAGGTAAATTCAGACATTTTTTCTGGAGGGGAAGTTGATAGCGAATTTTAATTGATTAAGTGACAAGGCCATGGTTACTATCTCAGTATCTGGAGCTAAACGCAAAAATAAAGTTTAAAAAGGCACGCGAGCCAGGGCGACACACGAAGCATGACTCAGAAACTTTGTTGTATCTCTCAGGTTCCAGAGGTAGGCTTGTCGACTTGTACATAACTGGTTAGCGCGTTGTGCGACGCTGCAAATTTATCGCGCATATTCACACACCACGTTGAACCTTGCCAAATGCCACTGCCTTGGGCGAGGGAGTAGGCATTTGTGCCGGAATTAGCGGGGCTGCTTTACGGTGGCCTTGTTTGTAATCTCCCGTAGAACCCAAGCCAAGAACCCACTGGGGCTTGTGAAAAGACAACACAACGAGGTCGAAGCAGCCGTTCATTCGACAACAAGACCCGTTCGTTGCTGCGGGGCAATGTGTGCCAGCATGTGCACAAGTTTAGCGTGTAACTAACGGTCGACGGAGTAGGACTTCAGCGAAAAATGTTCATTCGTGTGGTGCTAAACGCGCACCAGGCCGTAGAACCTAAGAGCATTCATCCGAATTTGTGCTTGTACGTTGGTTTGCGTGATCCTAACTCAATGGACTTTGGTCACATCCTCTTAGGGGACTTGTCAGCATAACACTGCTCCACATTAGAACAGAAAGAGTATAATCCCAGTGAAATAGCAAAATTTACAAGCCTTAGTTTATCTCTGCACGTTTGACATTTGGAGGCAACAAACGTCAAGCTGCATGGTACACTCACTAAAGCTAATGAGCTAAGTTGCAAAACTCTTCCTGTATTCCCAATTGAAACCTGTGGGCTGATGTTGCTATTGAGCACGACGCCATTTCCAATAGTCGTCTTCGATGCCTCCAGGTCAATTACCTGTAAATAAGCATGGAGTCTCACATGTGATTGCGCGTAGTGTACTTGGTATCTTTTTTGTGCTATACAGTGAAAACGTTCTTTTCGAGCGCGATCCAAAGCACCTAACTAATTAGATCGTTCTCTAGGTAAATGATGGTGAATTCGACGTCACCATTTTACTTGCTAAGGAAACACACACAGCCACCCAGCCGCACCAGCATAACCTATTATCTCACTTCAGCAATTCCATGAAAAGGACACTATTTCATTAATTTGGGCTATGAAAACCAAAAAATGAACATTAGTAGGACAATTAAAGATACAACTATTTGCTTTTTGACTCCTCAAATCGTTTCCAGACACGCTTAGCTGACGTAGCGAGTAACTTTGCGCATTATGCCGAACATAATGGAAGTAAATTGCAATTGCCCTTATGCATTATCAACTCGTAATTCTTCAATATGGCTGTAAAAAACACGTGAAGAGGAGAAAGACGCAGAAAATGCAAAGTTTAGTAATAAAACGCCATGTTACTAAGCAAAAAGACCTTATTATCGTCAACTTCTTAGAATTAAATTAGGCTAAGCAAACACAACAGTAGATTTTGTGGCTCAATTAATTCTTGTCGATGTTGCCCCACCTCCGCAGTACAAGGCAATGCTTAAAGTAATGTAGTAGACTATTCTGGCGTCATAGCACCCTGTACGCTTGCCATTTAATTTCCTAAAATTAGTCAAAAGGAATTCTTGCTGTAGCCGCGCCCTCACTGGTGGCACAGCGCGAATGTCTGCGGCAACTTGTTAAAGTTTTTTGTCTGTTTCAGTTAGCCGGACGCTCCTTGGCTCTCAGTGACAACGCCATTCTTTTTAAGATGGCTTCTCAGCACGCCGACCTTGTACTGCCGATCGTTATTCCTGCGTTAAAGGCGGCTTTACATCACTGGCACATGTAACAGCTTTTCCACTAATACTACTTCTACTACTTGTAACGTCCTTATGAGTCACGAATCTGCCCGACGTAAGAATAGAAAGAAAAGGTTAGGTTGGTCGAACAGTTTGACAATAACTCAACGGATAAACTGGTGTGCAGAGGCGCGTCTAGCGCACCGACTCCCGTCGAAACTCACACCAGGTGTCAATAAAATTCAAGAAACGCATAGGTAAATGTGCTGTGCCCGATCAGTTTGAGGAAGTTAAAAAAATCATCACCAGCAGGAAGTGTGAGAGACTTGACAAATTCTTGCAACCAGTGTGGCAATATGGTCGCGGCATAGCATCACTGGCACATAGAGTGAATTGGCATTAATGTTTTTTTCGTTGAGCACAAAACGCAGATCGAACTCGATGCCCTCTAGAAATCCGAGAGGTTGGAGATGGTTAATTATGGAAAAATCGTGAAGCGTAGTACATAGGCTGCAGGTTAGTTGGCGATTACCACTTGCGGATAAGATCCGTGATGAAGAGCTAGTGCTGGTGGTGATTAGGCCAGGCGAAACCACGTCAAATTAAATATCTCCCAGAAGCCTCACATGAACGCTGTTTTGTAGAGGAATACAAGGACACGCTGAAACTGCTCTGGATAAGTGGAAAGAAGTAAATCCGGACCTCTTTGAGTACTATGAACGGGATCTTGCTAATCAGAAAGACACGTAAGCTAAGAATACTGAACTGCCTAACATAGGCTATAAATCAATGCCACTGCTCACTTGTTCCTAGCTGTACAAACCCCAGTTTCTCACCTAAGGAAATGCTTCAATGCTTGCTGCTATCGGCTGCTACACAGCAGCACTCACGTTGGTCTACTTTGTGCACTCGGGCATTACGTACTTCACTTGACGTTTGCTGCCCTCAAGAGTTCATGTTGTCATTCGACCTATATAATGCATGCTTCTGCACCATACGAACACCACTTGTCTAAGTGGTAAAATTTTTACACAAATTCAAGTAACCACAGCATCGGAGGATTCACGTCTATTCAGTCGTCCTATACTACATGTAGATGAAAGTACTACAGGAAAAACCAGGAGGTAACGAGCGATGAAGAAGTCTAGGCATTGTGGCATCATGCTCATGTGTTACTTACTAAACATACTGGCATGTTTGAAAATGTGTACAAAAGGACTAATACGCACTGGTGATTGTCAAGCGTGCGCAAAGTTCATTTGGTGCATGGCCAAGTCTGTCAAAGCACGTCGTGCTTCGGAATGACCGGTCGTTTGTGTGTTCAATTATAACTTTTTCATTAACACATCTGCTAACATGCCTGTGTGATAGTGTGAAAACCTATTTCCACTTCGGTATGTCGTTTCGAGGGAATGTCGCTGCCTTCAGACCAAACAAGATTTGGAGTAATTCGTTCGGAATTTGCAGAGGTGTCTTCTCTACTTGAAGACTTGAGTTTTCGTGCCGTGAAACTTGTCCATGTCTGGTGATTGTAGCAGTTTCCACTGAAACCATATTTTTGTGCAGTTGTTCAATGTCATGACAACGTAATCAGTGTTGGTATTCTGTTCAGGTCCTAAGAGCGGGTGGTGGACGGCACTCCTCACAATCCACTGTCAAATCACCACAGAATTTAGACCAAGTAGAGGTGGCTCTGATGTGTGTCCTGAATAATCCAGCACTCGTCGCATTTAATTACCAATCTTTAAAACTGCTCTATTTGTCATCATGCATGTTCTTCTCAAAACCAGCTTCAGCACCTTGTTCGACTAACATTTATGTTGTCTGGATGTTGGCAAAGTAGGTGCGCACTTTCATCACAAAGTCTAGTGTCGTGTCTATCGTGGCTTCGATCAAAGTACTTTGCTCACCTCAAGATGTGGCCACGCAGGCTCTTTTGCCTCCTCCTCCTCCTCCTTCTCATTGATATCCTGGGGGTCATAGGGACTCCTTGTGAGTTTGTGAAGTGGTGGTGGAAGAGGACGGAAGACATTTGCTGAGAACATTCTCACGACCGCCTCGTATACTTCCTCGTCCTCAGTAATGTCTACGGACGGGGATTCGAATAGATAGGTGCTGACGTCCTGTAATGTAGATGTCTTGAATTGTTTCTCTTCAAGTTGGCTGTTTTTGTTGGCAGTAAAATCGAAGGTTGTACAACAAATTTTTGGCTTGTCGATTAGCAGCAATGTGTGAAGCCGTGAAGATGATTAAATTTAGGTGTTTTTCGCTTACTTAACTTTTGGAATGATTAGTTAAATCAGGTTTACTTGACACAATTTTAAATATTTTTACATAAATATTGTATTTATTGTTTGGCTTTTTCATTTTCAGGGAAATTGACCGCATTAATTCCAGAATTAATTTGTGGGTTAAGGTTGAAACTGCTGCCTCTCGACGTCTTAAATTATATTTCTCTGAATCGGAATAAGCTTCGTTTCCTGATGCCGCTTCGACTTTCTAAGAAAAGAAACCATTCTCCTAGATTTTTAGCTTGGATATGTATACCAATGCTATCACTGAATGGTAATGAAATTCCTTAGCCTTTATAATTTTTTAGACTATTTTTCTTCCAGCCATTAATGCAAGGGTATTCGAACGGACGTTAAATTTTTTTTCGAATTAATTTACTTGATAAATGAAACTGGAAAGACCAAATGACTGTAGCAAGGTCACCGAATAACAAATGGAATACCCGAACACTGATCCTTTTAGTAATGGCCAGCATTGTGAATTTTTGCATGACAAACGGCTGTGTTGATTATGCTTTTAATACAGCAAATAAGACATTTAAATTGCCAGAAATTATTTGCAACACTTTGAAATCATATTTTACCGACTGAGAAATGCACTAATGAGAATGGTATGAAGGTTTATCCGG